CCATTCTGTGATTAAAATTTCGAAATTTGTGTTCCGTAATGTTATGCACATTAATGCAATCTATAATTTTTGAAATTGATTAATAAATTGCTAACCGGTCACCGGGGTAACCATCAAAAGTATACTAATCCACACTATGGCATCAAATGGCCTCAAATAGGCGAGAAAGTCCATCCTTCCCTCACTGAGAGACGAACATGAAACAAAGTTCCACCTGTTCATACCAACCATGACGAGATCCTTCTCGGCGGCATCATCGTAATTTTTAACCACCCCGACATAATAATTATCCCATTTCACGAACACCCTCGACAAATTCTTATTCATCACGAATGTCATCGCAATTTCCAGAGCGTCCTCCGGTTTAAAACTTCTCGTCCCTTGATGAAACTCTCGGAACGAAAAATTCCTGTGTAACATTTCAAACTCGTTCGTACTACTGGACGGTATCAATTTTATATCGTTCGCGCGCTTTTGTTCGACACCTCGTAAAGTTTGCAACAATCCTGCCAGCTTACTTTTAAAAATGGAAAGCGCGCGAGTTTTACCCTTCTTCCAAGGACTGTTGAAGAGCACGGTGTCCAAATCTAGCTCGAAGACGTCACGTCCATCTTTTCCTTTCCCGCGTAACCACTTTAAAACGACCCTAACCACGGTAAAACGAGGCGAATAAAACCCAGTAATTAAGCACTTTTCATATTTGCAGAACACAGCGTCATATTTATTACCATTGTGGGACATGATTTGTATCACGTAGTTGTGCAAGAGGTAGCTTTGCGGAAGGGGAATTTTGATTACTGCCACTTTTAAGAAACGGTCGCCTATTTTCCATCGTTTCCCGTCCTTTGAGTAAAGCACGAGTGGATTGTCATATCTCCTCCGTGTCTGCATCATGTCTGAATATTCCTCGTTATTCGAGGGATGGATTATCACCGCATGAACGAGACATTCATGTCCGAAGAACTTGTTCAATTTTCGATTGATATTGTGATGAACGACATGCTGTAGAATTTGCGGGTCTGAGAGGTTTACGTATCCCGTGGACAGTTTGTATCGTGCCAATTGTACCGCATTTTTGGGGTAGGGGACGAATTCAAAGTTTCCGAAGAATCCGAGACTTACTACGCAGTTGGAGAGTTGGTCCAGGACGATGGGTAATTTCTCGACAGAATATGAAGAACAATGCCGAGATGCTGTGACTGAGGGTGCCGTTGAGACAAAATAAGTAAACAGGGCAGCTAGACTTATCGTAAATATGACACGTGAGGGCATTTTCGAGCTTTAAGTATTGTCAGGCGAACAAAGTTTTTGTTTGTTAAATAAACATAATTAAATATGTTTAGTCAAAATGATCTGGTTAAATGCATATGTGTTTGATTTCATGTCACAATATTTAAATTTAATTTGTGCATAGTTTACAGTTTAAAGTCGTTTATTCAAATGTCGAGAAACACCAGTTTAGACAGTGCGTTTCAGATTTAGACAGAATTTGAAATATATGTGTACATATACATACGTGTACATACGCATTTTTGGTAAACGTAAATATATTTTTACATATCAAGTGTCAAGTATCCACGTTTCGTTTGGTAGATAGTTTCAAAAGAAAATATTCACTGAAGACATGTTTTTGTGAAGTACAAGGTTTTTGATTTTTTTTTAATTGTGAATTTATCTGACAGTTTGTCTTATAACCCTATAAAATTCTGTGACATTTCAGACCTACAGAATTAAAAAAGTGAAATTTTATATGAGGAATGTGTTCGTATTTGTGATGAAACATGATGAACGAAGTTACAGTATGTTAAATAAAAATGTATAATGATAAAATGAAAGTTGAATCAATCGTTATGATGTTTAAGCACTGCAAATACGTCAGGGGCATGTACCTATTTGTACATACATATTTATTTATTAGGAAACCAAGTCGGTCGAGGCAATTAAGCATATTGATGCGTGTTTATATACAGCGTTTTATTTACATATGTACATACCCATACCGAAACGTTTTAGCGAACGAAATTTAGTAACTAAATGTTAGTTATTTATTTTTTACCCACATACATAAATAACGTCTCCACGTGCCAAAGTTCGAAGGTGTACATGCAGTCAAATGTCAAATAGAGGCCGGATAAAAATATATTTGACCGGTGACGACCCAAACTACGACCGGATCTTAATTTATGGCTTAGTGAAAGATTCACCTTCATATTCGTTCATCCGGCCATAATTTCGGGTGAATAATTTGTTTACCCTGTTTATTTTGTAAATTGTATCCATTTCTTAATTATTAACCATTTCGTAATTATTTAAAATTTGCAGGGGTGAACAAATTACTCATTTCGGAAATTACAAATTACAAATTACAATTACAATTTTAAAATTCTTCAAATTACAATTACAAATTACTATTACTTTGATTCTTCAAATTACAAATTACAAATTACAATTACTTTGTCTCCGGCATTGTCGAATTACAAATTACAAATTACGTAATTCAATTACAATTGAAATTACAAATTATGTTATGCATAAAATATGTAATTACGTCACTTTTTGAAAACAAATTCAATGATTTACCAATATCAATTAGAAATTAATTGTTGGTGGTCAAAAATCCACCCCATTGTTATAAAATTTGTACGTAATATTTTTGCATGCATTAGAAAATTTGAAATGATACATAGTGAAGTGATGAGTCTTAATTTCCTGTTCTAAAATCTCAAGGTATTTACAGATTTATTCTGCAATGATCTATTTTTACTGAAATTTCAAAATATTTTATTGAACTCTGTTTCAGAATTTGTAATTTTGCTTCTTTCTTAGTTTTTTTCAAGAGTTTAGTGAAGTCACAGCGTAGATAAAAATAACATGATGTTGAGAAAGTTTAAGATTCCATGTTTTGATTAATGAATTGATGCAATTAATGCTTGATTAATCAATTAATACAGCATAAATTGTCATTTGATAGATACAAACAGTACAAAATTGTAATTTGTAATTTAAAATGTAATTAAATTACTTTTAAAATTCCAGTTTTCTCAAATTACAAATTACAAATTGCAATTACTCTATTTCGTTCAATTACAATTACAAATTACAATTACTTTGGCTCATTTGTGATCAAATTACAAATTACAATTAGTAATTTGTAATTGGGAATTTGTAATTTCACAAAGTAATTTGTTCACCCCTGGAATTTTGGAATTACAAATTTTTAATTCCAAAATTTGTGTTGGAGTTGGATTTCATTATAACCTAAGACCGAAAACTAGTAGAAAAAATGGCGCTAAGTTTTACAAAAAAAGTTTTACAAAATTTTCCTAAATTTGGATAAAAATAAAGCCACCATCTTAAAATACACAAAAGCTTAAAAAGTTTCGAAATTTAGAAAAATTGCGTTAGTTCAATGATAAAAAATTTCCAAAAGCAATCTGGTAATAAATAGTTTCTCATGTCATATCACTCATTTATGGAAATATTATAGACGATGACATTCGAAATTTACGGTTGCAAATTGTTATCAATCCGGGAGGGTCGTATACACATGTACCATATATACGAGAACAGTTCTGCGAGTAATGCTTATGGTTGTGACATACGTACAGGTGTTCAAAGCTTATGGGATTATGAAATTATTTCCAAATAAAAAAAAGTTAAATTTTATGCAGGACGATTGTGAAGTAATCTTTTTCTGTAGTGACATTGACGGTCTACGTCTCTCCTGACATTGGTACCGAGGCTGACTCACCGAGGCCAGAATCATTGAGGCAAGGATTATGAAGTTTGCCATTTCGGTACCTTTAAATCAAGGAAATCAAAAGCATTTTTACACGTAATGTTGGTTATACCTTCAAGTAGCAAGATTTCGTCTGAAAAAAGATCATCTTGTTGTATGTAGTAAAGTTCTTAGAAGTTTCTTGTGCCTGCACCAGCGTGGTGCGCTATTTTATATCCTCTTCAGCCACGTAAGCCCAGGTTCAATTCCTTAGCATCAAACTTCTTTGATTGCTTTATTTTTTCAATTTCGTTGCGAAAATATAAAACAGCGATGTAAATGCATGAACACGGGTAGTTTTATATTTTTGCAAGCAAATGGCAAAAAATACAACAAGCAAAAAAGTTTAATGCTGAGGAATTGAACCTGAGCTTACGTAGCTGAAAAGGATATAAAATAGCGCACCACGATGGTGCAGTTACACGAAGCTGCTAAAAACTTTACTACATAAAATAAGATGACCATTTTGCGACGCTCTCGATACTTGAAGGTGTAACCAACATCATAGGTCTTCAAATAAAAAATAAACCAGAACGAGATCCTGATAAATTTAAGCCGTGGGTCATAACCAGATAGCAAAATTTCTTAGTCTTTTTTAACGAACGTCGGCAAATAAATTGATTTGATATGCTGTATAATTCAGTTAGTCAAGTTAAAAGCGTCGGTATTTATTTCGCCTCGGGAGGGAAAATTAATTGGCTTATCTACTGCGCAAAAAGTTTCCTTATTAATGTATCATCGGTTATACATTAACTATTCACTCCTAAATGTAAAAAATAACGACGGGAAGTAGTTGTACCAGGTTGGTACTACCAACTATGTAAATACATATCCCTTTCCATATCGTCGTTGAAACTTCCAAAGGAGCCATCTCCATTTTGGCCATTACTTTCTCGTAAGCTTAAACATGGGCTTACACATTCGAGGATACCAACGGCTAAAATGGAGACGGCTCCTTTGGAAGCTTCAACGACGATATGCGTATACATATAGTCGTATTATTCTGTATGCCATCCTCCCGGTCATCACTTCGATGTTAGAGTGAGTTAAATGATGACATCAGAGGATCATATACAGAATAAAACGACTGTATGTTAGGGAATTCAAAACCGGATCCTTTTGTGAAAACCGGTTTTCGGTTTTTCCGGTTTTTGGGACTCGAAAACCGGTGAAAAACCGGTTTTCCACCATTTTTTCAAAATATCACCAAATACATACATTATGGCTAAAACTATTTATTATTCTTCAAATAAAGTCAAAGCGTATTTTACCGGGTAACGGATAAATATAATAGTTAACAATTGAATCTGAATATATATATATTACATTCCCACAACTTGGAAATGGGATCTTAGAAAACACAATGTGTCTAGCGTATCATCTCGCAGGTTTCAACGCACTTTATTGCAGATATATCCCGCAGCTGAAAACGCTCTCTCTGACTTCACGCTAGTTGGTTTAATTGTTTGCAAATGATTAAAAGCCATTTGTAGGTGATGACCTCGAGAGCCACCTCCTTCAAATAAATCCATTTCCTTCTTGATGGTCGCCAACAATCCACGCGTTGTCTGACACTTTTCAGCATGTGCCCGGGCGTCGACCGCTTTCAGTTCCATTTCCAGCTCGCTCTGAAGGCCAGAATTTCCCTCAATTTGCTCTGGTTGTTGACTTGTTGAAGTTACGTCATCATCGGTTACCTCTGACAGGCGATCTTGGTATAAGCGCCCCAATATTAACTTAATGCACGAAGCTATTTTTGCCTTTGACGGGATTTGAAAAAACTCATCGTAATCGTCATCCATTGTTGTGGAGCCAGTGTGCAGGTACTGAAAAATTCCGGACTGTTCGATCCGCCTGATAGATTCGTCGAAATGATTCCTCCAACTCTTGTGCAATTCCGCTCCGCAACTGTCCCAATTTTTTCACGACAAAATTTATGGCAGCATCGGCAGTCAATAAGGTTGCATCCCGACGACACAGGCGTTCCAGGATAACTTTCAGAGGCCCCAGGGCGTTGATTATATCAGTAATTCTGTCTATTTCCCATTCTTCCATGTTAATTGGAGATTTAATGTCAATTAATGTTTTTCTGATATAATTTTGAAGTGAGTGGAATCTGTCGAGCATGTTAAATAAACTATTCCATCTTGTTTTGCAATCAAGGATCAGCTGAACTTCCTTCTTAAAATCAGCATAAACGTGTTTTTGAAGGACTTCGTTTTTTAATGGTGAACGTCTAAACATTTTTACGATCTGCCGGACCTAGTAAAGTAAATCTTCCTTAGTAATATGATCGAAATATTATTTTCCGAAGCAAACGCTAGATATCGTTATATTTGTTAAATATACCTTAGAAATTATCGGCGCAATCATTTCATGACTGACATCTGTTGGAGTTTCATTGCTTTCCAACTCAAATCTTGACGATAACTCCAGAGGATCGCTAACGTCCTCGCCGTCCTCCTCGTCACTGTCGTCGTCACAGTCTTCATATCTAGAACCACTTGCTAGAATCCGATTCTTGGGATACAGGACATCTGCAACTGCCAATTGTGTCCCGTGAGCTAGGCAAAGTTGTTGTTCTGTGGGTGACAACCTTCCAATTTTTGTCATTACTGATGTTCCGTCGGTCATGATGCAAATAATATCATCTCTTAGTGATATATGATGCTCCAATAATTTACTTGCCACCAGTGTCACTGCGTTTTCGGATGTAAGGGATCCAGTTATCCTAACTAGCCCAAGGTTCCAGAATTTTGTACCCTGTCCATGGAGAATAATGCTCATAAATCGTCTATTCTTGTTTGAAGTCCATTCGTCAAATGTTGCACAAAATTTGATTCCGTCTTCTTTCATCCTCTGGATTTCAAGAAGCTGGCGATCACGGATTGATTTTCCATACAGCATAACTATTTCCCTCACAGTTGCTGGTGATTTCGGAATAGGGTCCTTGAAACCCATGGATTTCAGGGCTTTTCTTAAATCTGGTGACGTACAGAATACAGAGAAGGGGAATCCATCCCGCGCCGCCATCCGAGATATGGTTGCCGACAATGTTGACTCCTCAGTTTGTAAAAAATACTCACCAATTCGTTTTGGCCGTTTTGCAGCAGGGTCTAGAACAAATTAGGTGTACAAATGCATTTTAATAGTATCATACATCGCGCAGTAGAAAAATATTTAGTTTGGATTTTGAACTAACCATTGCGCACTTGTGGAGAAGATAATTGACTTTTTCTTATTACTATCTCATGTTTAGATTCAAGATGTGTGTGTTGCGTTGAGGTTGACCCCCCACCAGTTTTCAAAATTTGCTTGCAATTCTCGTTTTTGCACTTGGCCAAATTTCCATTTTTTTCGCGTAAAAAATAGAACCAAATCGAGTCCTTGTCGCTCGAATTTTTAAGGTGCTCGACAAATTCTGACTTATCAGAAGGTGAGGTCATTTTTATGTATCGGTAATAGGATAAATAAATTTTACGTTTATCAAATGTGATAACAAAATTTACAAAAAAATAGTAAATTCACAAAGAGGGCAGCAATAACGGCTGTAGATATGAATCCCGCGTTATAGCGTGTTTTGAGACAAAACTCCGGTTTTGCACGTAGCTAAAACCGGTTTTCGGCTTTTGCGAAAACCGGTTTTTCTCCGGTTTCTCCGGTTTTGAAAACCGGGGTTGAATTCCCTACTGTATGTACATGTAATTACTAAATGTGGACAGATTGCGATACACACTAGAATTTTTTGGCTAGTCACCTCATTTGTATATTTTGACGCTTTCTAGAGAGACATGGAGTTTACTTAATATTGAATTCCTTCATTGCTGAAATGGGCATCTTGTGATTTATGCAAATGGGATGACCTGCAACAATTATTTACAGTACGTATTTGTAAGTATGTAGATTGTTTCAGGTCTGAACTTAAGTAATTCTGCAAGGCATCGAGGGATCACCCTCCGGCTGATCCATGCTAAATTTTATATGGCTTATCCAAGTTGAATTTAGTCGCACGTTTGAGGCCTCCACCGTCTCTTTATGATAGGTAATAGTGACATTCGCCGCCTTCTCAATCCTTATGTTCTGCACCCCGTGGAAATTTTGTGTTCTTGCCCATATCTCATCGAAATCACATGTTAATGTTTGCATCATACGGTATGACAGCGATAAAGATTTCTTATTAAATGGTGTACATGTGACTTGGAAGGAATACACTTCGCCAGGGTGCAGCAACAATGCTGGTTCGAGCATGATAACAACATCCGTGCTGTTATCAGAGATGATGTAGATATAATCACCCCTCGCTTGGATAAAGCCGTTGTTGTTTGTAACACATAATTTGAACCGAACTCCACCCTCTACAATTTGATTAATTTCTTCGGAAAATATCCTAACCCCGTTGACCAGTAGTGGCACGTTGACTTTAAGGCTGTAACCAGATATAAATTTTTTAGCGTTCCATACAAAACATACTTATTTATACAATTAATACCTAATTTCAGGCTCTAGATGATAATCTACAAATCTTTTAACAACGCTATTGGGATTCGCGATGCCTCCTGGATATAAGTAAACATCCGATGACCCGTTTCGGGGATGTTCATTGAAGCTGCAGGGAAATTTGCTGCAAACAGTTACGTATTTATTTAGGAATATATACCCGTATTATGTTGGTTATCACACATTCAAGCTAGACATTGATTTACGTTGTCTTAGGTGGATAAGCCCGATAACGAAAAGTGAAGGTATTTTAAAAATATTAGTAAAATTGGATTTTCAGCGAAGGTTTGCATGGGGCGCCATTTTGAAGGGGAGTGGTGGGCGCAAATGAAGCCATAAAATAAAACCCTATCCATGGTTGCCAGACACTCCTAACTCTTCAATATATTCAATATATCCAGGGGGCAACAAAGCATATCATTCTTTCAATCACTGATTATCCAACTTGACTAACAAATTGCAACCAGGCTGGCCAGAAGCTAATGTATTATTTTGAAGCGGGATGGGCTTGGAGATTAACTCAAGATACATTTTATGTAAGAAATAAAAGATTTTATGTATGTAAAAAATTCGTAAGGATATCCTCGCCTGCAGGAATTAAAAATATTACCTGGAATCTGAAAAATGCAAAAACATCGCAAGAACTTCTTCCTGAGGAAGGGCGCCCGTTGGGACGACTACAGCTGCGAAATCTTGCTGTCCGATTATAGGAAAACGTATCAGTTTCAAGAGTTCAGTAAGCGCCTCAGAATTCGGAAAATCTTTGTCAAACTTCTTTGATTGTTTCCCCCATCTGAATGCAATAGGGAACCAGTTAAGTAAATGATTTAGCTAAATATGCGGAACTTGCACAAGTATGCACTACCTACTCTAATAAAGCTCGGAATAGATCCACTTCTCGAATATTTAATGATTCCTGGTTAAGCAGCTCTCTCACGGTTTCAGCATCCCATGAAAGGTAACGATTCTCTGCTCCCGCCGTTCTAACATTTCTACAATAATCCGGAAAATCTCAGTTCACAAAGCAGCATGGCCATTGGCGATCATGAGTTATCTTACTTTAGAAAAATTTGGAAGCTCTTTTGGCTTAAATCTGTGTCTATGAATCTCGAACTTGTGTAAATGGATAAGCATGTGGTGACCGTGTTAAGGTCACAATTTTCAACAGAGCAGTTTAACAGTAAATTGGTATAAATTCGTACACCATGTTCACATCGGTCAAGTTTTTCTCCGAGTCGTGAAACCAGCTCACCCAAAAGGTCGGCAACATCGTAAAGATGTGCCAATTTTAAGATGGCCAGCATTTGATGATCGTCCGTTGAAGGGAACTTGCCAGTGTATAAGTACTACGAATAATGATGGTCATATTAGCAATTCTAGTCTAGGTTGACATGCTAATTTGTGGATAATATTCATACCCGAATAAATATTTTGAACGAATCCACCTCATGGTCTGGCAAACGAATACGTACCATGGTATCGGGGTCTTGCTCATCTTGTTGCTCCGTCCATCTACTCTGTAGCATCGCCTCAAAAACGGTCGATCTTCCCGCCAGAACCATTTTATGGGCTTTAATGCTATATTCTTCGGGCCCAATGAGGAGCACGACGTCAGAAAATAATCCATTTTCGAGAACCCGGCTCATCATGGCGGTTAGACTCTTAGCGCTGAAGTATTCCATTCTAAAATAATCCAAACGATTACAAATAAATTACTACATTATTCATATTAAATTAACATTGTTAATATATAATTTCAATTGGATATTTTATGTCCATACATTGCAAAAATTACACTACCCACTATGCACGGTGGTTACCAGGTTATTATTTAGAATGTTGCCGTGAAAACGAAAAAGTTTGAATCTGAAATTATTAACTCGAACCGCGAGAAAGTTCACAAGCACGACGTAATTGCATATGGGGTCTGAAAAATCGTGGTTGACGTGCCAAATGCTTACTGCGAAATGGAGACGTACTCATCCGTGAAATTTGGCTATTAACCCGTAGAAGGAACTGTAGCTACTTATTGCTTATCGATTTGTCCGTCCTTGAGCTTCCTCGAGCAAATGAACGTGTCTTTTGTTCTGTTTTCGGTTGGACATCTAATTTTAAAAGTACCAGGGTGTTCGGTAATTAACGTTGTACTATATATACCTACATACGTTCATTGGCATGGCGCAACGGTGATGAAATAAAATTTCAAACATATCGAATTTTTAGTGTTCCCTGTTTCAGACGTCATTTGTAGAGGGATTTTGAAAATCATCATCTTTTCGATAATAGTCGACCGGTTGACTGCATCTAAAAGTGGTAAATATGGGGAGTAGTGTATTTAAGAAATTGATTAAAAACGAGCTTCTTGAGGGGCAGCGAATAGAACGAATGATTGATTTGTGTAAAATCATTGATGAATATGATTCTTAATTTTGTAATGCAATATGAGTATCAATCTTAAAATAATTAATTTTGTGTTGGATTTGTTTTGTTGTATGTGTAATTTTGATTGTAAGACAATTTTATCCTTGAGGTGTAAGGTCCCAGCAATGGGGTGCCTCATTGTAATAAATAAATAAATAAATAAAATAGTCAACGGAATCGTCCAAAATGTAAATTTTTCAATTTTGACGCGAAAAATGCTCTTGGAAAAACCTATTCATAGCCTATTCAATGCAGAATTGTATTAAGACCCTCGCTCCCGTTACTTTATTATATCTGCGGTTGGAGTTTATTTTATTTGATGATAAGCATTTTATCAGAAAAAGTTGTCGTGAGGAACATGCACATATGTATGTACACACGCTTAATTATTTTATGATGCAGATGATCAGATTCACTGGCCAGTCAACCTGGGTTTTACTGGAACTTGAGATAAAGCATGGGTTTTACTGGTGAGTTGTGAATTTCCAGGTTGTATTCGTTAGAGTTGCATAGATGACTCCATACTTGTATAAGTATGTATGTAGGTATGCAAATATAAATACACAGGTACGTATATATCTAAAGAATATTATACAGAGACAATTTATTCCATGCATATGCTAATAACACGCATGTACATACATATATATTTAAGTAAGTTAATCAAAACCATTATTTATTAATAAATATGTTAGAAATGTGGTAATGAGTCTTGACAGATTCCTACCGGACGGAGTATCTATATGACTCTACCCGTGTATATAATACCCGTGTATAGTAATGGGGAGCATTATCCTTGAGTCATACAAAGGTAATGAAACGTTACCAATCTTTAAGATATCACTACGAACCCTGTGGGAATTAATTACCGAATCATTACTAAATATGACGGAGTAACTATGTATGTACATATGTGACTCCACCAAATTTTTTACAGTGTATGTATTTAAATATGTATATATTTAAAACATACAGAGTTTATATAAATACTTATTTATACATGTGTATGTATGTAATCTGTAGTAAAGAGTCGTACAATTTAAACCCTAACCTTAAAAACGTGAAAATTCTAATATAAAAAATCTCACAGTTAAAAAAATCGCAGAAAACGTGAAAAATTCCTTATAAAGTCCTTATCCTTATTAAAAGTATTCAGATTTTTCGGCACATTCCATTGTAACCACTTATCACTCGAACTCTGCGATACAATGCTTTACTCCTGATAATAAATGCGCAATACATTTATATTTGTACATTAGCTGCATAGGTAATTTGCCATATTTCATTTATGCATTTACATATCTAAGGGGTACTGTCAACTCTTTTGTATCAAACTATTAGGCAATAAAACCTAACTGATACCAGTGTATCAGTCACCTCAGGGGGTAAAATTGGTGGTGATTTGTGTTCGTATTAATTTTCTTAAACATTCTGTGCACCAATACTTATGTATAATGCAAGTCATATATACATAAATAAATATATATTTACATGTATACATTTTGCAGAAATTAATATGGAAATAAATATTTATTTTATTTGATTATGTACATATTCCACGGTTCTACTTATCACTACATCCATTTGAAATGCAAATAATTTTTTATTTAGTAATACCTACGGTATCTGTTGTCAATGTTTGGCTGTCTCGGCGGTGGAAACGCATTAAACCGAAAGATAATGTACACGATAACAAGTAAAATAATAATGATTAACATTTCGTGCTGACGAAACAGTAATAACTATAATCTGAATTAGTTAATGTTGGTTGTTATTTACGACATTCAGCGTTGTGGAAAATTATGTGCTTGATTTAGACAAAAAATATCAAATTTGTATGTACCATATGCATATACATATTTACATAACGTCCACTCTTAATTTAAAAACTTTGTGGGGTACTGACCCAAAAAGGGGAATGTATTTATCAGCAAAGGATTTATATAAAACCTAGTGGTGAAAATATGTAGTCTTGTTGATTTGGATTTAATTCAAATGATTTCCTATAATAATTTTTATGTATGTACCAAACTTCTGCGAGAAATTCAAACGTATGGAAAGTCGGTATTCTCGAACGTTGCACAATCGCCACTGGTTTACAGTATGATATTTAAAATGAAATTATACCCAGGTTTTTCAAATAACATGCGGACATATTTGAATATAGATCTGTACATAAACTGGTTGAATTCTTGATCGCTTATGTCTTTCCATTGTGAAATTGGGTGTTACTAAAGCTCTATTATGCAGGCAATAATTTGCACACTACGTGCTCAGGTTAATGAATACCTGGAAGCTGATGATAGAGGGCTATTAAGCAGTTGCAAAAGTTGTGTCAATTGTAAATAAATAAGAAAATAATTGCAGAGTTTAATTTAATGGCCCGATTTCCGTACGTTTAAATTGGATGTTACACTTTCAGGAGAAATTAGTTTTGAAAGAGAAGATATAGTTGTAGGCGATAATTGCACATTTTCGCAAAACTTAGGCATATTTAAAAACAATAATTGGAAGAAAGGGTTAAAGTTTAAATGTTTAAAAGTGTTGAGCTGTTGGTAAAAACATACTTAACTTTAATCATGAATACAGAGTGAGTAACTTAATTTGACACAAGTTTGAGATACATAGCATATCTAACTCGGCCACAGGAAAATATAATTTGAATCTGCGAATATGTAAACTTTTGAACCGATTAAAATTGTCATACAGAATTTTCCACTAAAAAGGAGAATAAAATGGCCAGACTTAATGCTTTGCATAACGTAGTTAACCCAGCCCTCGCTGGCTCGCGTATATTTAGACGGATATGTACCATACAGTAGACCTACCGACAACCCAAGGCTACCCTTCCGTACATATTTATAATTCAGCAAAATGAACGAAAAATAAAATGTCTGGGTTCTTTGACGAAGTAAAAATTAAAACTTTATACCTAATTTAATTTGTATATCATTTTTGTCCACAACTAACTGCATACCGTAAAATCTCTAATAGAGGCCCCCGGCCACTATTTAAAAGTCGGACTTTGACACCCGGCCTGTACTATGATTCAGAAATTTTTCACCAGGAAAGAATTAGAGACCAGGCATCCAGAAATTTCATAGAATCGTCACAAAAATTTAAAATAAACATAATTACATATAAAAAATATTTAACAAAAAAGACTTAGGCGAGACGCCTAAGTCGTAAAATCTGAAACAAGGTGCACCCACTGTCTCGCCTGTGCCCACCCCATTATAATTTTTTTCATCAAAACCTTCATAAAATTAATAGAATTAACTATTATTAATTTGTTAATTTGTATTGTGTATAAATTATTCACATTGTTCTTAGCATTGTAGTTCATTATGTACGATCAAAATGTTTACATGCATAAATAATTATTGATTTATTACTAGTATTCTATTTAAAGTAAGTCAAGTTAGGCTAATGGCGAAATTGCATTATAATTGTACTATTAATGTTATGATATAGATGTTATATATGTCATATTGCTAATCATTCCACAAAAATCTCATGCACTAAAATTTCAAGGACAAGGTTGGCTAATTTTTATAACTTTGTTTGTTAATTTTAAGATGGAAAAAATTGTAATGAGGTGGGCTCGGGCCGGACAGTGGGTGCACCTTGTTTCAGATTTTACGGTGCGTCTCGCCCAAGTCTTTTTTTGTTAAATTTTTTTTATTTGGCTATTTTTGAGTGACAACGCGTAGTCACACCTTAGCAAGATTGTTGAAAATGAACTGCATAGGGAAAACCCCTTCAATCATTTTTTCCAATTCAAAAAACAAGCGCAGAATTTAATTATGTTCAAAATGTCTGATTGACATTTTGAAATGCCTTGAGATATTTTAAAGAAATGGAAAGCAACTTTCAAATGGCCTAAATATGGTCTAAATATTAATCGACCAGGCTAAAAGATCAAAGCGCACTAGTTCATAGCATTCTTTGCAACTTTTATTTTAAACTTTTTTTTCCATACGATGCACGATTTTCACTGTATACTGTTCTAAAGTTTTGAACAGCAACAAGAATGCATACCTAGGTTTCGCCGTAACCACGGTCCAATTTTTTTCGGCGGACCATGGTTACGTCGTTTTGTCTCGCCTAAGAAAAATATGATTGAATCCATATATACACGTAACGCTGATAATATACGAGTAATATAGAGCCCTGGACACATTAGTAACCCGGCGTATAAACCGTTTTACAACTTCTTTGACTCGGCCACAATTGGAGACCGGCCACTATTTGATACCCGCTCTATTAGATATTTTACGGTACATACACACACTAAACGACAACCTCACCGTTTAAATGGACACCCCATCCCGACATACATACGACATACCTTTTTAATCATATCATAGAATAATCGTCCCTAATATTTATATAAACAACTCGCGAACTACTTATTTTTCAATTTCTTCCTGGTATGAAGGCAAGAGTCACCTTCAGACCCGCATAAAGCACGCACACACACCGTTACTTATCCTGAATCATATATATTAAGAGCCGTTGGCGACCGTA